ATCGAGTCGCGCGGCAATCACATCGCGGCGCGGCGACTCGAAATTGCTGAAAGCCTGAAAAGCATACATGTAGCGCTATAGCGTGCGATAGAAGAGGACAACAGATCTGTCCTTTTCTACCGCTCGAGGCTGGCCGAGCGACACGTCGTTCGTGACGTAGTGTCACGTGACGGCTCACGGCAGTGGCGTAGCCGCCGCCGCGCGTTACCAGCCTATCCCCTCCACATGGTCGTATTTGTCGTAAATGTCGGCCACCCGGAATCCCTGCCGCCGGTTACGAAATGCACGAGAATGTGATCCCACGAGTCGGACGCCCAGGGCGTCGAGCCCTCCGAGCGTCTCCTTCACGGAGAGAAGCTCCTTTAAACCGGCAGTCGACTTGCTCGTGAGCGTAGCGGCCGCAATAAGGCGATCCAGATATGAGTACGCATGCGTTTATTATTGTATCTGGCGCATAGGGCACCTCAGGCCGGAGCGTAGTTGTCCGTGGTGATGGTGAAGAGATCAGGTGCGCGGCGTCGCCGCTGATGTGAGTTTTGAGATAGTGGAGCTTCTCCACGGGTCGGATATCCGGATTGAGACTGACCATGGACTTGAACAAGTCGCGGAACGTCAGCCACGTGTGATATTCTCCGGTGAATTTTGGTAGAGCGATCTTCGGCAGGGCTCGTGAGGTTCCTTTATGCGAACAACTGGATCGGCTAGAATCGTCGTCGCCGGTCTCGTCCCGGGCCAGCCTGATCGCACGGCCGCGGATTTCAACCATCTCGGCTTTGGATTCGAGATACGTTTCCGCACACGTGTCGTAAACGTCCTCAGTGAAGTAGGCGTCCGAGAGTTGCTTGTCCGTGCGAGCTGCGATTAATTGGTGATGCTGCTTCTGGAATTTGGGCCAATAATTGTCCAGGGATTGAATGCACGTGTCGAGCGTGGGAACCGTCCACTTTTCTCGACCGAGCTTCTTGAGGTTGTCGATCGCTCGCTCCACTCGGTACAAGAGCTCCTTTTGGCTCTTGACGATCGCTTCGAAGGTAGCCATGGTGTGGGTGAGGTCCCGGCGTCGATTCACTTGATCACGAAACACACGCGGCGGCTATAGCACACACGGCCTTGCACAAGTTCCTCGAGCGTAGGGCTCCGAGCGCGCGGCACGGTCGTTGCACTCCACGCCGCTCCGTCGGAGCGACGGCCGATGATCGCCCGCGGAACGACCCGATGAAGTAAACTACGGCGTCTCGCGGGATCGAGAGCGAGGAAGAGAAAGGATGAAAGAGAGCGAGAGCGAGCGAGAAAGAGAGAGAGAGAGATCCGAACGTGGGCGAAAAGAAAGAAATCCGGTTCGAAGGATCATCAAATGTTGAGGATAGGAAGTCAGAGGAGCAATCACTCGCGTATGATTCTTTCTCTACCAAAAAAACGATGATTTATTGCTTAACGTAAGGTACAAAGTGCTTCGCGTTCGACTCTTCGATCAGTTATGTGGAAAGAAAAAGAAAAAACAGAGCAGAGGCGGCAGAGCAAGCCTCGGCCGATCAGCTGGTCGCTGCGTGGCATTCGCACGAGCCGGATGCGTGAGCCGTGCTCGTCGCATTGGGGGAAGGTTTGCGTATGCGAATAAGCTGAGTCACGGACCCGCTCCGACAATTCGAAAATATTAAAAAATACACCATAAATGTAGCTTAAAATAATTCTATTAAGCTTAAGAAACATATATCTTTTTGCTACTTCTGGCCAAACAAATATCCATAATATTAGTAAAAATATCAATTTGAAGATCTGCATCAACAGAACCTAATATAAAATGTTTATAAATAATTTGTATTTGTTCAAGAGCGCCGTCGAGGAGAACTAATCAATCTCTAAAATTCATAGCTTTAACATTCTTGTTAATTGCAATACAGATCCGAAGGAGTATCTAACCATAACAAAATCTTTTCCATCTTTGAGTTTTGATAATCAAGCGACGCGGTAGCGGCGCGACGCCAAGTATATAAAAATAAAAGTCGGGTGATGACCTGTGAGTATACGGCACTGACACTGTCGAAACGCTACCGCTAGCTTTATTTCGAAGTTTTGCCTCGTCAGATTTCCGATTTTAATATCTCGGAAACGAAAATTCTAATGAAAAATCTAATGACACTTTCGTTATATAATGTCGATACGAACTTTCAATCGAGACCAGTCCAAATAAAATCGGTGCAGTCAATCCCGAGATCTCGAAATCGAGTCTACGAAAATCTACGAAAATGCCACTTTAGCGATTCCAGTTTTCGTCTTCTTATTCAGACAGTCCGCCAAGGTGCATTCGCAACGCCAAAAGCGAGCGACTGTCCGTCAAGATGCGTTCTGATGTGAGGTTACGCGCGCCGTTCGAAGACATAACGTGTCCTTACGTGTCATTATCATCCTTGTTGTTTGTGAATACAAATAATAAAATGTTTAACGCAATACTCTTTTATAACAAATTAACGATGACATTTGATAATTGTTAATTATAATTAGGATTTAAAAATTAAAATAAACTATTGCATTTGTTTAAAATTTATTATTTAATAATCGGGTTTTAACGATAATATCTGAGATTTGTTTGTATGTAAATTGTTAATTAAAACTGAGAAGTCGGACTAAATTATTGCATTTGTTTAAAGTATATTATTTAATAATCGGATAAATATATCAATGATCCAGTTTGATAATTGTTATTTAGCATTAATAAATTCAACAAAATAAGTTCTAAACCTCTCACATTATCCATTTGTTTATAACGCAATATTTAGCAAGTTAACGATGATAACTGAGATCTGTCTATGCAATAATTGTTAATTTGGATTTAGAAATCGGTCTAAACTATTGCAATTGTTTAAAATCTATAATTTAACAATCAGGCAAAGATATCAACAATTCACTTGTTTGGTAATTGTTATTTAACATTAATAAATCGAAGGGAACAAGTTATAAATCTCTCTTGCTATCTGTTTGTTTATAATGCGTTATCTAACAAATTAACGACGATGTCTGGAATGTATATGCAATATTTGTTAGTTAGGACTTAAAAATCGGACCGAATTATTACAATTGTTTAAAAGTCATTATTTAACAATCCGAGTAAAAAGTATTGATGGTCTACTTGTTTGGTATTTGTTATAAGCTGTTTGTTTAACGCTAATTAATAAGACGGAACAAATTTCATGCTCTTATGTTATCTTTAGTAAACAACAAAGATATAATTAATACATTATGCGTATTATATGCTTTATGGAACTCAGTCGTTAAGGGCTGGCAGGAGAGACAGGCAAACTCATTTACACTTCATTTACACTTCATTCATGGTGCAGATAATATCTGTATTTTACCACATTTTATTTTTTAGAAGTGTAATATCTTGTCATAAGCCTTCTTTTAGCTTATTTCTTACGAAAATACGAAAGCTATTAAAGAGCCAGATTTTGTAATTTTACTCTTAAAAATATTATAATAAAAAAAATTATCTGCTCTCTAATTACGGTTCAGCTAAGATCGAATTAATTCCATATTTCGTTTCGTAGAAGCAATATTTTGCTATGCCTTTCACTGATCCATGTTTTACGAAGCTGCCAAACTTCGCTGCAAAACCTTTCACAAAGCCGGATTTTGCAATTTGGTTTTTAAAATAATATAATAAATAAGATTATCTGCACCTTAGTGCACGATAGTGCAGATATCAGAATAATTTTATTTTGCTCATTTTTTCCAAAAAATTATTTTGTAAAGAGATGCAGGCAATTCTTTTGATTACGAATATCACAATTATATTGCGATTTCATCAATATTTTATTACCTTGTTTCAAGATACACAATCAATTTTTGCATTCCTATACAGGGTGATTCAGAATAAGTACATTGTCCTTAAACATACGTATTTCTGACCACATTCTGAGACGATTTTTCTTTTGGCAAAAATTTGTGCGGAGCTTAATTTTCAAGTTATAAAGAGAAATAGTTAATGAATTATAGGCCGCGTACGGAAGGTAGACAGGGGCGGCGCAACTTACTGTCTGACGGCAGGCGGTACGCGAGACCCTCGCGACGATCAGCTGACTATACACGCGCGCATAAACATGCGTTTACATTTTCTCTCTCTCTCTCTTTTTCACACACGCACGCACGCACGCACAAAACTTTACCTTTTAAGGATTTGTCGACTTCTGTAGCTTCTCGAAAAAGATAGATAAATTCTCATTTCGATGTGATTTCCACGTAATGAGTGTTTATTTTATTAAATTTTCGATAGTTTTAATGTAAACGTCACAAGTTATCCACTGACTGACACAGATTAAATAATTAATT